GATCCCTAAATACTACAATTGATTAGCTGTGCACTTGCGGCTTTCATTTGTTTTTATTAAGGGTAAAACTTGTTCCCTCACGCAGTAGACACATCAAGTTTTTGGCGCCGTTGCCGGAGATTTGTTTCGCTGCTTTTGTTATTTTTCTTGTTCTAATTTCTGTTCTAGACACCTGATCTCTAGTTCTTTCTTAAAGTTTGTTGAATTATCTTTCGCTTCTTTTGTTTTTTTCTGAATTGCATGAATACCAGGCACAGACCTGTAGAAAACATTCCAATTCTAGACGAGATAGACAGACACAAAAGAGAACTTCGAAGACTTAGACGAACGCAAGGAATGGCCAACGACGACCAGCCTAGAGATCCTGTTAACCGAGCTTTAAACATGGACCACAAGATGGGTCCGAACATGGAGAAAATGAAGAGAACGATCACAGAGAAGGTGATCATGCTCGACAAGATGGAGAAGAGGATGAGGTTCCTCCAAGAAACCATCAAAACCGCGAGAGAGAAGAACGTGAAGACCTTGATGCACCTATCAATGCAGCCAATGGTGACCACCAGGAGATGCAGCCGAATGGACGCGTTAACCGCCCTGTTCAGAAAGCAAATCAACACCAAAGATAAGCCAGGAACCATCGCATTGCTGATTTCAATGCACTTACTCAGAATTTTCAGAACCGATCCGCAATTCAAGTACCATTTCCGAACCAGAATGAGTTTGAAGTCAAGCCTCAAATCATCTCATTGGTGAAACAAAACCAATTCCATGGAGTTCCTTCTGAACATCCAATTGATCATATCGAGCTCTTTGAAGAAATCTGCAGCATGATGAGAACAAACTAAGTTCTAGCAGAATATTTAAAGTGTAAGTTGTTCCCTTTTTCATTAGCAGACAAAGCTCGCCGTTGGTTGAAATCTTTGCCTGCAGGATCGATTACTAATTGGGATGAATGTAAAACTGCTTTCATGAACCACTTCTATACTAAGTCAAGGTTGAACTTGATGAGAACCAAGATCTCAAGTTTTCAGCAAGGACTGACTGAACCTTTCTATGAAGCCTGGGAACGTTTTAAAGAGTATGAACGTGATTTCCCTCACCATGGATTTCCCGGATCAAGCCTGCTGAGCACATTTTACCGAGGTTTGCAACCAAAATACAAACTTTTGCTTGATACAGCTAGCAATGGAGATTTAGACAAAAGATGATAGCACAAGGAAGGACCCTCATCGAGAATTTGGCTCAAGCCAATAGCAATGATTGTCCTGAATACGATATCTCGACAAAGCAAACCGGAACAGACAACAAGAAGATAACCGAGTTGAAGAATATGATGAGCCAGCTTTTGAAAAGCAACAATCGCCGAATCCATGCTTGTGAGACCAACAATGGTGCAGAAGACAAAGGACCTAGTGATATCGATCACATTAATCCATGTGTGAGCCAAAACTCGCACAACCAAAAATATGTTAAGACAAACTTAAGGGATCCGAAATTTCTAAGGTTTTTCGCAAGAACAGTAAGATTGAAAGAAGGTTTTTATTGCTGTGAAAGTGTTTAGTATTTATTGCTTAGGGTCGCAAAAATTACATAATGAATCATGTAAATCGCCTATTTATACTAATTCCCTAAACCGTCTAGCCGAGAATCTCGGGAGAAATTTTTGGAATATTTCCTTATCGTGTTGTGCGGCCACCGTCATAATGCTTTTGCCTAGGGTTTCACTGGGCTTGCATCCTTAACGACTTTGGCTCGGCCCATCTTCACTTGTGCGCAGCTCATCCCATCTTCTCTTATGCACGGATCGGCCCATCTGAGTGTCCTTCACGCGGCTCGGCCTACTTATTGCCTCCTCACGGCTCGGCCCATTTACGACGTTGGGTGCAGCTCGGCCCACTCCTCTTATGCGGGGGTTCGGTCCATATCTGATGAATCACTGATTCCCCTTGCCAAATCGGCTCTCCCCGATGTTTAATTATTCTTGAGATGGTTTAAACCGGTTGGGGAGAAACCGACCCCAACAGTTAGCCCCCCAGCTCGTCAGTTTCAGAGGCGAGAGTGACGAGATTTATCACTCCTGGGCGTGGAATTAACCATCGAGTTGAACCTGTCGTGGAACGATTCCGGGTGAGACGTGTCAGGAACAAGATTGCCGAGCCATTATGAAGACGAGGCGACTGATATGAGAGACGATGCCGAGCCGTTTTCGGTAGAAGTTATGCCGAGCTGAATAAATGACGAGGTGTTATATGAGAATCGTGTCAAGCCGAATAAACGACGAGGCGTTATGTGAGAATCATGCCGAGCCGAATAAACGATGAGGTGTTATGTGAGAATCATGCTGACCCAAACAAACGACGAGGCGTTATGGCGTGGATAATGCCGAGTCATGTTCCAAGGCAACGACAAGGCGTTTCTGTTAGTGATGCCGAGCCGTGTTTCAAGGTAACGACGAGGCGTCTCTGTTAGTGATGCCGAGTCATGTTTCAAGGTAACGACGAGGCGTTTTTGTTAATAATGTTGAGTCGTGTTTCAAAGTAATGACGTGGCGTTTTTGTTAGTAATGCCGAGCCGTGTTTCAAGGTAACGACGAGGCATTTTTGTTAGTAATGTCGAGCCGTGTTTCAAGGTAACGATGAGGCATTTTTGTTAGTAATGTCGAGCCGTGTTTCAAGGTAACGACGAGGCGAGACTGTGCCGAGACATCAGCTGAAGACTCAGACTTACCAACAGTTGGTCTTCCGAAAGAAGATTCTTGGATACTGGCGCGTGTAACCGACGCGGCCAGAGTTTGTTTGTACGCCGCGGATTCCACGCACCGTTATATTGATGGCTTCCCGAGGTTCACGCGGAACTCACGCGCCTCGATCTGTTCTATAAGAAGGTGAATCGCCTTGGAGGATATCGTAGAAAGGCAGACACTTGTTGGTAGAATGTGACATGAATCTGTTTAGTGCGGCGACTCTTCCCGTGAGCCTTTGAACTTCTCGCTTCGTTCTTGGGGAGGGCATCTCGACTAATGCCTTGATCTGCTTGGGGTTCGTTTCAATGCCTCGGTGAGTCACCAAGTAGCCGAGGAACTCTCCCGAGGTGACCGCGAATCTGCACTTCGCCGGGTTTATTTTCATGTTGTGTTTGTTCAATTGCTCGAAGCATTCTCGTAGGTGCGTGATATGATCTTTTTCTTCGATCGATTTGACCAGCATATCGTTGATGTATACCTCCATAGTTTTTCCGAGCTGATCTGCAAACATCTTATTGACGAGCCGTTGATATGTTGCCCCCGCGTTTTTGAGTCCGAACGGCATGACTTTGTAGCAGTAAATCCCGAGATCGGTTATGAATGCCGATTTTTCTCTGTCATTGGGATGCATCAGGATTTGGTTGTAACCTGAAAAAGCATTCATGAACGTCAACAACCTATTTCCCGCAGTGGCTTCGACGAGCTGATCGATGTGCGGTAAAGGGAAGCTGTCTTTTGGCACGCCTTGTTGAGATCTGTGAGGTCTACACAGACTCGCCACTTGCTGTTCTTCTTCTTCACGACCACTGTATTTGCGAGCCAGTCCATGTACTTTACCTCGGCGATTGATCCCACTTTGAGCAATCTTTCCACTTTATCGTTAACGGCTTTAGCTCGTTCAGGACCGAGCTTCCTCCTTTTTTGCTTGACAGGTTTGAAGATTGCGTCCACATTCAGCTCGTGACAGGTCACGTCGATGCTTATGCTTGGCATATCCTCCGCTGTCTAGGCAAAGGTGTTGATATTCTCCTTGAGGAAGGAAAGGAGTTCGTTCTTCAAAGGTTCTTCCAGCTTAGTTCCGATCTCGACGCGCCTCTCTGGATGCGCTTCGTCTGTGCACACCGAGTCCACCAAATTACATTCCGGCTCGGTGCGCGTTTCGCGGCTCTCCGGGATCTGTAATTGCTATAAGAGTTTTGCGAGCTCGCTCGCGGGCTCTCGATCCCTCTTCAGCTTCTTGCGATCTACGTCTGCTCGCGCGTCGGTGACGGGGTTCCTCAACTTGTGCTCTGTCAGGGAACACATTCGCGACTCCTTTTGATTTTTCCCAAATCGTTTTGATGCCTTCTGGAGTTGGGAGTTTAAGGCAGAGGTGATAGGTGGAAGGGATCGCCCTCATCGCATTGATCCATGGAGTCCCCATGATCACGTTGTAGATTGCTGGGTGATCGGTGACAGAGAATTCGACGATTTTAGTGACTCCACCGGCCGCTACGGGGAGTCTAATTGTGCCCATAGTCATTGTTGTTTCTCCTGAAAACCCGGTTAGAGGTTTAGGGACTGCCGTCACCTCGGAGAGATCGATTCCCATCCTTCTGAGAGTCTCCCTGAAGATAAGATCTACCGAGCTCCCGGTATCGATGAGTACTCTCGCCACGTCGTGGTCTCTGATCGTCAGCTCGATCACTAGTGGATCGGTGTGTGGTCTATCTATCCCTGCCGTTTCCTCTTCGGCGAAGGAGATCACCGTGTTTGGAATATCTGTCGGTTCGGTCCAATTCTCTTTTGCTTCGGCTCGGCGCTGATAGGCTTTGATGGAAAATACCGTGTCTTGGTAATACTGGGATCCACCCATGATCATGTTGATTCTTTGTCTTGGCTCAGGTCGTTCTTCGGGTTCACCTCTCTTGTCGCGCTTGGTGTTATCGCCTCGTCGGGGAGGATTTGCGGGTTCTGTCGCGCCGCTCGGCTCGGTTCCCTCTTTTAGCTCGGTAGGGACGAGGTCTTTAAGATTCACCGCGTTCTGGAGCTCTCTCGCTGCCATTTAAGCTGTGAGTTTGGTTCCTAGGGTTCGGCATTGCGCCGTCGAGTGCCCGTAGGTTTGATGATACTCGCAGAACGCCTTTCCGTCGTAGTTAGTGGGTCTCCTTACCCAAGTGTTGCTGCTCGGCTCTCCTCTTCCGCGTCCAGCGCCTACTTGATAGTTGTGGGCGCCTCCGCTTCTCAGTTCCTCCGAGCTCCGTATTGTTCCGTTGTTTCATGGGTTACCATTCTTCGAGGGGCGCGTTAGGATTGAGCTCCGGATCGCTGCTTTCGTCGCTTCGTATTGCTCGTCCAAATTTTTCATCTCTTCCTCGTTTACGACGAAGTCTGACGACCGATGTAAGGCATCTTGAATCATTTGTGGCGTGTTGAGGGGCATTTCCCGTCGGAATTCAGATTTGTACCACAAGGACCGCTTCAGAGCCTCGAGTACAGCCTTGTCGCTTATTTCTTCTACTTTGGACACGACTGCCTTGAACCTTTCCATGTAGTCCCGAAGCGGTTCGTTTGGTCCTTGGGATAGTGTCCATAGGTCGGCATTAGAGGTTCCTCGATCCATGAACATCGAATACTGCTTGAGGAACAAAGTGGAAAGCTGTTGGAAACTGCCGATTGAATTACGCTCCTGTCTTGTAAACCATTCCAACGCGGCTCCCTTGAGATGCTCTACGAAGAGCATGCAATATCCGGCATCTACCTCCCGCTCGGTCAGATTGGCAGCGTTCCTTATGAAGGCTCGTCCCAATGTTATCCGAAACGTTGTGATGTGCGCCTTCAAGTCAGTTGTGCCTTCGTAGAATGGGATTCTCAGTTTCCCGGGCTCGGGAATCCTAGCCTCCGTGATTCTTGATGTGAACGGTGTTCTCTGGGTCTCTTCGAGCATTCGATCGATCTCAGGCGCGACACTTTTTGCTTTATGCACTTGAGATTTCATGGCGTGTATCTCGGCCACTGTTCGAGCCATTGAGGCTCGCAGCTCTTCGATTTCGAAGGTTTGTGCGCGAGTTTTTCTCTTCGATTAGCGAAGTCGCTCCTGATCTTCTCTCCTCGGCTCATCCTCGCGCTCTGCCTGCTCGACCAATTGAAGATTTTCCTCTTCTTCAGCTGGGTTGTCGTCGCGAGCCGGGTCGGTGACTTCATCAGCCCAAATGCCATTTAGTGCCGAGGTGAGCTCTTCTTGACTTATTCGCCGAGCCAAGCTGTTTTGTTGCGAATTCATTGTTCCATCGTTTTGTTGGGCGTCCACGTCGATCACGTCGTTCTCCTCTTCGTCGGCTCGTCGCCTTGAATTGCAACGGAGTGGAGGCGGCTCGGTCATGTTGATTCGGGTTGCTGCGGGAGTCTGTTGCCGAGGGAACGAAACATTGGTGGCGCCAAGGGGTTTCTTGCGCCACTACCTGAGGCTCCTGCAGGTGTTGAGAAATCAAAGCGTCTCCGGACTCCATCCGTCGGATCGGAGATTCCGGCTCTCCACTGTGGGTGTCGTCTCTCAGCCGTCATCGCGTCGAGCCTTTCCGTGATCGCCTCGTTCCTTTTTTTCTGCTCGTTGATTTTCTTCATCAACGTAGCCATCATGTTTTGCATATCCTCTTGGGTTTCAGTTGTCGCCGTTGTTGTGCCCGTTGGTGGAGTGTCCTTCTCCGCACCGTTGTCGTTGTTGTTGTTGTTGTTGTTGTTGTTATCGTCAGGGGTGTTGCTTGCCATGTTCTTCAGATCTTAAAGTCTTGTCGCAAGAACAGTAAGATAGCCACAGACGGTGCCAAATTGTGTGAGCCAAAACTCGCCAACCAAAAATTTGTTAAGACAAACTTAAGGGATCCGAAATTTCTAGGGTTTATCGCAAGAACAGTAAGATCGAAAGAAGGTTTTTATTGCTGAAGTGTTTAGTCTTTATTACTTAGGATCGCAGAACTTACATAATGAATCGTGTAAATCACCTATTTATACTAATTCCCAAAACCGCCTAGCCGAGAATCTCGGGAGAGATTTTTGGAATATTTCCTTATCGTGTTGTGCGGCCACCATCATAATGCTTTTGCCTAGGGTTTCAGTGGGCTCGCATCCTTAACGACTTCGGATCGGCCTATCTTCACTTGTATGCAGCTCGGCCCATCTTCTCTTATGTGCAGCTCGGCCCATCTTCTCTTGTGCACGGCTCGGCCCATCTGAGAGTCCTTCACGCGGCTTGGCCTCCTTATTGGCTCCTCACGGCTCGGCCCATTTACGATGTTGGGTGCAGCTCGGCCCACTCCTCTTTTGCGGGGGTTCGGTCCATATCTGATGAATCACTGATTCCCCTTGCCAAAGCGGCTCTCCCCGATGTTTAATTATTCTTGAGATGATTTAAACCGGTTGAGGTGAAACTGACCCAACAAGCCAGCCTTTCAAGCACCATATCCAAATCGCTTCAACAATGGCTTCAACAACAACTTACGGAATGAAAACTACAGCAATCTCTCTTACCGCAATCCAAATGTGGAGAATCCTCAAGTTCAGTACTACCCACCACAGCAAAAATCATTCCAAAACAAGTTCTAAGGTGGATAATTCGGAGGGACAGGAGCTTATCAACCGCGACAGCCATATAACTATCAAGGTACGGGTTTTAACAATCAATTTGTACAACAGCAAGGAGTCACAACGGACAAGCTAGCTTCGCAAATTGGAAGACTTGAACAGTACAGCCGTGCCCGGAGATATAGAGCCCATAAGCGGTGTTAAAAAAAAGCCTTTAATATTTTTTTTTATTAAAAATCTTAATTAACCACATTTATATCATATTCATATAAAACTAATATAATTCATATAAAAAATTATTTTCTTAAAATTCTTTTAAAACCAGTAATAACAATCATCATCCTAAACAAAATAAATAAAAAGTAACTAATCCCAAATCAAACTAAAATCTGATACAATATGAAACAAAATTAAATGAAAAAAAAAACTTAATAATGAGCAAATAATTTTTGATTATGTGATTGTTCAGTAAGAAAAAAAAGAAGTAAGAAGTTTTCAAAACTTCAAAGTTTGAAAAGATAATTTTGTATAAAAAAGTTTAGTCTATCTAATTGTTTAGGATGCTATGTATGTTGTCCTAATATTTAGTGTGTTGTTAATTTTAGTTGCTAATTTGTTTTTTTTAAGTTTGTGTTTTCAAAACTAAATTTATACTGTTCAATTTATAATAATTAATAATGTTAAGAATTATGATTAAATTGACCATCTAGTTAAAAAAAAAAAAACCTGGACCCATAATCCAATGTTTCTTTTCTTTACACATAGGCACAGACATGTTGAACAGTCCATCCAACAGCTTGTTATGACAAACGAGAAAGCATCTAAAGACATGAACGTGAAAGTTGACTGCATGTACAATGACCTGAACGGGAAGTTTGAAGCTTTATCTTTGCACGTCAAAAAGCTAGACGTACAAGTTGCCCAAACAGCCGACTCTATGAAGAGGCAAAGTGGAGCTCTTCCCGAAAGAGTTGAAAATAACCCCACGAGATTTGCAATGCCATAACCACGCTGCCCGAAGAAGAAGCCAAAACCAATGGAAAAGATGAAGAAACCCCAATCTTTGTACCACTTTACAAGGATGTCGATGCCAAGCAGCCTCCATTCAAGGTACCTCAACGTTCACCGTTTCAAAGGCTTACAAAAGCCGACGATCCGGGACGTTTTGTTTTCTAATGTTTCATTTCAGGAATCAAATTCACAGACTGTCAATGCGATTCTGGAACCAATGTCAACATCATGTCAAAGACATTTGCCAAAAAATTGGGCATAAAACCTTAAGGACATCATCGGTCAAGGTTATCTTTGGAGATTCATCTCAAAAAGATACTGAAGGGGCGATTCATGATCTACAAGTTCTAGTGGGAGATAAGATTGTTCCAGCAGATTTCCAAGTCCTGGAGATGGATAAAGACAAGGAGAGGCCACTCATATTCGGGAGACCATTTCTAGCTACTGTAGGAGCAGTAATCGACCACGCAAACCGGCATGCTGTCTTCCTTAATGTAGATCGCAGAAGGTTTTATCTGACTGTCCTAGACGATTTTCCAAGTAAAGGAAACCGGCCAAAAGAGAAAGAAAAGGAGAAGCCGAGAGCTTTTGCAAAGATCAAGATCATCATTCCACCAGATGCGAGAGAGACTAGTGAGGACCAAATCCAGGAACTGATCGAAAACACAAAAAGGGTTTTAAACAATGTTAAAGTCTGAAAGAAGAGTAAAGGAAAGAAGACGGCTCCTCAAGGAGAAGAAGTTAAACCTCCAGCGACCGGAAATGATAAAGGCACATCAAGTGGAGTGTCATTCAAATCAGCCTGATCTTTCATGCCTACGTCGAGCTAAACGACTTAAAACAAAAGCGCTTAATGGGGGACAACCCATTTAGGTACTCTTTCTTTTAGTTTTCTTTTCCTTTTTACAATTTATGTTTCCTTTTTCTTTTAAGTTTCAGATATTTTTATAAAACAAAAACACAAAAAAATCACAAAATTAGAAAAACCAAGAAAGAAGGAAAGGTTTTTAGCTGCTCGGCCCGGCAGAAACCTGAAAGTTGGACGAAGGCCACAGGAAAATGGGCCACGGTCGCGACCAACCGACCTGTGGCCAAAGCCTCATCGACCGCGGCACCGTGAATGTGACCGCGGTTGCGCGTCTCCTGACCGCGGCCGTTGGTCGTTGAGACAGGAATTCGGACTTCCGCCGCTTTTCAGAAGTTCCCGGTGATTCCCGTTGATTCCCGGTGATTCCAGGTGATTCGAGGTGATTCCCGGTGATTCCCGGAAAAGTCCGTTAAGATTTTCCATAAGTTTTAAACCCCCTGTTGCATACAAGAAAAGAAAGGTAAGTTCCCGTAAGCTTTTGAATTCCCGGAAATTTCCCGTTTTTGCTACAAAAACGTTTTTTAAAGAAAGGAGATAGAACACTTTTTGGATCAAAAACTCCTTTTTCTCTTCTCTTTCAAAAGACTTGGAGATTTAGGAGATAGAACATCTTTTTCAATTCTTAACCTTTTTAAGAAATTCTTGGCCCAAACCTCACTCTTTTTCAAAGCTGATTTCAAATCTATCATCAAATCTCTCTTTCCAGCAAGGTATGAAGCTCAAACTCGCCATTTTTAATTGATTTTGGAAGTTAGAGTTTTCTTAAAAAATCCCAAATCTTGGTTTATTAATGGTGGAAATAGCTTAAGAACAATAGATTATCCTTCTAGGTTATCTGAAAATCGATTTTAACACCCAGCTTAAGAGGAATTGAGATTTTTGAAATTTGGATTCTACATGCTTTATAAATCGAATTTGGAACAGAAAAATTGATGAATTTGATTTAGTCTTGTGTGATTATTGATTAGTATTAGGTAACCTATAGATTTGACATGAAAATTGCTCACTTAAACCAATTTTTAGAAGATTTTTATGTTGAAAACATCAAAAATCCGAATCTGGTCATGAACTACTCGATTTCTTCGATTCAATATCAATTATGTTTGCTTGTGGTTTTAACTAATCTCTTGATACTATGGTTAGTATAACTGATCGCTAATGTGTTAAAATCAGCATCCATATTCACTCTTTTTCCAAGTATCATCTCGTCTTGTAGGAAAAATAGAACAAACCAGATCCCGAAGAAGCCGTCGCACTGGTGACAGCTCTGAGGAAATTCCTGATGATAGTACTCTTGGAGAGTACATGCTGAACCAAGCCATACCGAGAAGAAGAAACTACGTGATGAGGCTGCTCCAGCACTCAAGAGAAACACGAGCAATTCCCGAGCCACCACAGATCCGATATATTGGGAAAGAGATCAACCCGAGAGTGGACTATGCAAGACGTTTCAAGAAGCTGAACATCAAACCGTTGCCCTGCATTGACTATCATACACTCGAGATGCTTGGGATTAGAGAAGATGTAATCTGGTACATCGATGCACTTAATCTGAGACCCTACATGGA